ATTTTACTCATATATGGAATGTAGGGAAACAAAACATAGGAATAGAGAAAAACAAACAAAAAAAGGAAAAAAATGCACAAGTATGACTAACAGAATTGAGGCCACTAGAGGGGGAAGGTGAAATAGAGTGTGGAAAGGGCTCAATGGATTAAGGTGGAGGACAGTGGACTCCCTGGTGGGGGATATGGTTTAGTAATACATCTGAAGAGGTGTAAACATAGACCTTTTCATTATATACAATGCTGTATACCAATATTACATCATTTAAAATAATAGATTTTTAAAATTTTTAATTTAAAATTAAAAAACAGACACAAAATGGCATATATACCTATCTTAGAATGATTATTTACTTATAAATTTATCATGAATTCCTGAATTAGGTACAATATTATTATGTCATACATACTATTTCTATACTTGTTTTATCTCTGAATTCTAGTTTTAGAACAATGGATTCAACAGAAGTAAAAATGAATTGAATACCACACTCCATCATAAATGTACAATTGATATGAAATAAAATATTATTGACCACTCCCCCTGAAAAATCTCACCAGCCCCCCTTATTCTCAGGATGTAGTCTTGGTGCTCAGAGTTGCTGCTGGTCAAGCTGAAATATAGAGTCAGGCAGGGGGCCTCTCACCAGGACAAAAGTCTTGGTATGAGGATATCTGCTGAAAACAGCAGGCAGACATTATGACCAGATTAGCATAACCAGCTAGACCACCTTGTCAAGTTAAGTGTAAACAGGGACAGAGAGGGCCTCCCCTGGTGGCACAGGCAGTTGAGCACCTCACTGTGAAGCTGCCTGCAGCCTCTGCAGCGCTGGTTCTATCCCAGCCAGCCAGCGAGGGTCCCACATGGTATGCAGACCTCTCCTGTCTCACCTGCTGCTCCCCTCAGCAGTGTATTTCATCAGTCTGCCTGTTCTGTTCCCCACTGTCTCTGGTGAACCCTCTCACCCTCCCGCAAATGTGGCCTGTACCCTGGATCTTGTGTAAATGAATAAATAAATCTTAAAAACAAACAGGGACTAGAGATAGTATATTTTGATTAGCAGTAACAATTGAGCCCCACAGGCAACAGCCCCTCTTCACTCCCCCCTAGCTTGTGCCAGACTATTATGCACCCCCAGTATACATCCCCACCATGCACATTCCTTCAAACATTCCTCCACATTCTTGCCCACCTTCCCTGAATCTGATACCCAATAAATATGAGACTGGCCAGGAGGAAAGGGCTGCATCTCCATAGGTTTAAGCCCCCCCTAGGTCTTTCTCTCTCACTACGTGGACTTTGAGTTGTCATTCCTCCATCCCACACTGTTCCCAAAGCTGCCTCCCCAAGAGGTGACACATTTATGTTCAGATTCATCCTCCTATTACTCCCTGATTATATTAGGTGCTCCACTTGGTTTCTGAAAATTAAACGCATTTACATCTAGTAGCATAATGGTGACAGGAGTAATTTATTTTTTTAAAGATTTATTTATTTATGCATACAAGAACTGGGGTACAGGCCAGAGATGCGGGAGGGGGGTGGTGAGAGGATTCACCAGAGACAGAGTGGGAAACAGAACAGGCAGACTGACTGAAAAACAGTGCTGAGAACAGTGGGCGAGACAGGAGAGGTCTGCTGCACCATGTGAGAGAATACCAAGTGTCACAATGTGCTAGGTTCACTGGCATCATGTGGGTGATTATAATATCAAGATCTGAGTGACAATGATAGGCATTATCTATAGTTAATATGACAATGACTTGGTAAAGGATAAATAAGTAGAACTCATAGATGTAGTACCAAGCCATTTTTGAGGTGATAAAATTTGTTTTTTGTGTAACTAAGATGATAATGATAGATTCAGCAGGAGTCAAGACTACCCCTGTTTGTAAAATCTATTAATTAACATAGGACATCATGCAACGATATGGGGTGGGGAAAGGATGAGTAACTGCCCAACATATTGATTAAAAATAAGTGTATATGTGTTCCTTTTGGATTTGTAGCTGTGTTATATTTTATTTCCCAAAGACAGAAATAGAAGAAAGTCAACAGTTATGTGTTATAGGAGATGTCACAGAGAAAGTTGTCTGTGGGTTGTTTTGATTTGAAAAAAACAGTTGGACTTGTCCTTTTAGCTTGTCTAGAGCATTAGACATAAGAAAGAAGAGAATAAATTATGGCAAGCCAGCAAAAGGAAACAAGTATTCTTCTTCCTTGATAATTCATGATGAACTTATAGGAAGTCAAGGCAGCCAGCCCCAGGTGGTGTAGGAATACATCAGGTTAAGGTGAAAAGGAGCAACTTAGAGAATCCTAGTGAGACTCCCCAAAAGATATAGTATAAAAGAAGCTTAAAGGAAAGGTCTACTCACATAATTGGATATTGTAAGCTAGCTGTGAGATAGTCTTCTTTCCGTAGACTGTGAACCCCACAAAAAATTCAAGTGGTGTGTTCACTGTTTAATGCACAGCTCTGAGCATATCATTTGCGAAATGCATGAATAAATGTATGAGAATCATAACCAGATCTCAAATTTCTTAGATTTGAGGCAAAGATCAGGGGTTACCAAATTATATATAAGAAACTTAACATTGTTTTGTATTACACTTATAAATATTTATATCCAAAACGTCCTAGTCATTTTTCCACATATTCTTATGAATACTGATATTTGGAGTAGATGGTGAATAGATAGGCCAACCCTGCCACTTTCCATATTTGTATCAAATTACACTGCTCTGTGTAATCTGACTGAACCCTTTCAGTACTCAAGTACCTGCCTGTAAATAAAATTCAACAAGTGTTAAAAGAAGTTAATAAAATCAAGGCAGTAAATAAGTCATGATACCTAGCATCAATGAAAATTACTAGATATATAAAACAAATGAGAGCAATAACCAGGATAAAAATCAATCATTAGGAAGATACGTAGGGCTTCTCGTGCTGCAAGAGGTTAAGACACAGCACTAAGAAACTACCTGCAGGGCCTCCCAAGTGGCGCAGCGGTTGTGCGCTGGGCTGTGGGGCTGCCCGCAGCCTCTGCAGCGCTGGTTCATTCCCCTGCTGCTGGACAAGGGTCCCACATGGCTGGTGGACCTCTCCTGCCGCCCTCTGCTCCCCTCAGCAGTGTACTTAGGTCCTTCTGCCTGTTCTGCTCCCTGCTCTGGCTCTGGTGAATTTTCTCACCCTCCCACGCTTCTGACTGTACCCAGTGCTTATATAAATACATAAATAAATAAATCTTAAAAAAAAAAAAAACAGTCCATCTTAAAAAAAAAAAAAAAAAGAAGAAGCTACCAGCAGCCACTGCAGCACAACTTTGATCCCTGGCCAGGGAGGTGACCCACATGGCGCAGCAGACCTCTCCTGACTCTCCTGCTGCTCCCCTCAGCAGTGTATTTTAGTCAGTCCACCTGGTCTGTTCCCCACTCTGTCTCTGGTGAATCCTCTCACCCCCAACACCTCTGGCTTATACCCCAGTTCTTATATGCATAAATAAATAAGTCTTCCAAAAAAGGAAGATAACTACAGGAAGAGGTGAACGGAGGGGGGGGGGCGGGGAAGATAGAATAGTGACAAATACCCAGACCACATTTAAAAGATGAGATAAAGGAGGGCCTCCCTGGTGGCACAAAGGGTTAAGTCTCAGCACTATCAAGCTTTCAGCAGCCACTGCAGCATGAGTTTGATCCCTGGCCAGGGTGCTAACCCATATGGCATAGCAGACCTCCCCTGTCCCCCCACCAAGGAGCAGTAGACTGCTCTTCCTCCCCTTAGCAGTGTATTTCAGTAGCTCCACCTTTTCTGCACCCCACTCTGTCTCTAGTGAATCTTCTCACCCCCTGTACCTCTGGCCTATACCCCAGTTCTTATATGCATAAATAAATAAAATAAAAAATAAATATTAAAGAAGATGAGATGAAGGAAAAAACTAACATGCATCACATGTGTAGAATAACCCAATATGTTAAAAGCATCAGGAGACTGTTATGTCATAGAGGACATGTAGGGAGACAGTTTCAAAATAGAAGGAGTGGTCAAAAAGGAGATCAAGCAAGACAGAAATTGAAAAGGGTCCATTGGATTTCATAAGAAGATTCCTTCTATACATGACCAGACTAATTCCATGGGAGTTAAAAGTACTGAGGAGTAAATATGATGTGAGGACTTATGGACAGCAGCATGGAGGTTTCTCAAGAGAATAAAAATGGATCTGCCAAATGGCCCAACAATTCTACTCCTAGTTAACAACCCAAAAAATAGAAAAACACTCATTCCAAAGGAAGTGTGTATTCCTATGATTACAGCAGTACTATTTACAATACTCAAGATATGAAATCAACCTAAGTGCCCCAGAACAGATGAGTGGATCAAGAAGATGTGGTATATATATATATATATATATATATATATATATATATATGCAATGGGATACTAAGCAAGCAAAAAAAAAAGACAAATTCATGCCATTTGCAACAATGTGGATGAAGCTAGAAGGGATTCGGTAAAGCAAAATAAGCCAGAAAGAGGAAGATAAATACTGGATGGTATTTACTTGTGGAATAAATAGAAACCAAACAAAGGACCAAAGACTATTTTAAAACCAACCCTTGAAAGCTCACTGTAGATCGGAAGCTTTCAGAAGAGGATAGAGAGAGCACAATGGAGTATGGTGGAGGACTATGGGTGTCTACAGTGACTACACTGAGGGGGAAATTGCATACTGTGAAAACACTAGCAATGATGTAAAACAATAGTACTTCAATGAAAAAAAAAAATAAAAAGGACATGAAGAAGAATAGATGCCAGTCATTTCTTTAAATTAAGATCATTTCTGACCCAGGGTAGGCAAATATATGTACATTTTACCTTTGGAAAGATTTTTTTCTAAAAATTCTCGAACTTTCTTTAATAATGACTCCCTTTTATATAGTCACATTTCCTCCTAACACACATATAACTCCTAAAAGAATTATGAAATTGAAATTGTTACCAAAAAAGGCATTCAGCAGCTTCTGAACCTGAATATTGCTTCCCACGGTGCGGTACAAGCCTTCTGTCTTGATCCCTAGGGAAAGAAAATTAGGTCATATTTATTTAGATAACTAGAGGTTTCATCTCACTCTAGAGTCAGTTCAAAGAGGAAAAGGTCTATCTACTTTCTCCAAGTTTTCCAGGCCTCCCCAAGAACAGGTGAACAAATCTAAAGTGTCTAGTCAAATTATCCATACTTTCATTTGGATTGTAGGAAGCCCTCATTAATTTGAACATAAGAGAATATACACTATAATAAATAAAAAAAAATATGTTTAGGTGGGTAGCAGCAAAATGGCTGAGAATGCCATCATGGTAAAGAGCTTGGGTTTCACTGAAAAAGGAGAAAATGTCAACCTTCATGGTGCCCCTGTGCAGTGATATAAAGGAAGGAGTGATATAAAGGCAGCATTACAGCAGAAACAAAGCAAAAGGTAATTTTTGCATAGAGAAAAACTGAAATATTTCAAAGGGAAAAAAAAAAAAAAAGAACTGGCTCTTACACTATACCTGCTCAAGCTCTAGATGTTCTCAGAGAGAAACTAGATGGTTCTGCCCACCTGGAAAAATGCTGATTTCACATTTACCTGAGTTTAGCCTTGCCCTCAACAATTTTTAAATCAATATGTATTGTGATAAAAACTGAACTCTTGTTACTTTAGGATGGCAATCACAGTATTAACTGAGTGATAGGTAGTATTACAGAAAAATTTGTAAGCCATTTGAGGTCTTTCTCTTTAAAAGCAGGAAATCACAAATAATCTAAATATGTTTGGAAAACATTGATTTGGATTTTTTCTGAAATTTTATAAATACTGTATAGTGCTCAAGATTCATGAACAGTTTCATTCCTAAAATGGTTCTTAACCAATAGATGATATTGCTGCTACTTTAGAGCAAGTGCCCGAGAATAACTTCAGTGACCAGATTCAAATATTGCCAGGACTAGGATTCATGTCTTACCTTTGGTCTCAATGACATTGATGCACTTCCTAACAAACTTGAATCCCACTTCATTTAGCTCCACTGTTGCAAGCAAAGGAAAACAGTTAGATTCTGTTGTGACAAGCTTTTCCTATCAAACATTAGGTGATCATGCTAACAGACTACAACCAAAGTAGGAGTTTGGTTGAACATCTCCAATCCCCCTGGAATGGAAAGATTCTTTATTTAGTGAAGGTAAGAGTTTTTACTCTTAAAACACAAAATGCTTTCAGTTAGCCCTTTGCATTATGTCTGATTTAGGCATGACAGACATCAATGTTAGGCTGGAAATGCACACAATTTCTGTCTATATTACTACTACCAACCCCCATTAAAAACTAAAATAAAGTCACTTCCTTAATTTGATCAGTAGACACATTTTTTTTAAAAAAAGGGGCTGAATTCATTTCACATAAGGCATTTGTAAACACACTTGCATCAATAGTACATATCATTGACAATAACATTTACTGTCATTATGGTAGCTGACAAATTATAACATCAGTAGGCCTAAAATTTAACTCACTTTCTTCCTGTTTTGTTATGGGGCTGTGGTAGATCTACAAAAGAAGAGAAACAGAAAAAGCCATGGCTATTGTGAATCAACATAGGTAACTAAGGCAAATAATATTGACTCTCCCCCAATAGTTAGTCATAAAAACCATTAACAACTCCATGGTGTTAGCAAGAATGAAAGGGGGCTAAACAGAATTATCTTTGTCCAGGTGCCCAGAAGACAGGTGGATTAATAATCCCTGAAGATTACACTGCATTTCATATAGTTCATTGTCGCTAAAGTTGTAGCCTTCCCTTCCTAGGTAATTACTTATATAAAACTTGGAAAGTTTTTGTGATGGAGCAAGAGAGCAGGAGAGAAAGGAAGCTGTTTTTTCATGGATACTTGGGGAAAGGGCATTGACAGTAAAAGTTAAATGTTCCCAATACCAATCTCCCAGCCCAAAGATGAGTTAATGGGTGTTTCTCTGTGGAAAGGCAAGTGTTACTCTAAAAGAAGTCCATGCACTTATCAAGATATCTCTGACCCTCTTGCCTCAGAGTCCTTGCCTTTTTTTTAGGCAAGGATGTCCAAAGAGGACACCTTTGACTATGAAGCCCAGTCCAAGCTCTGACTCTATCTCATCATGAAATCCTGGCCATGTATTTCCTATTCTCCAGACTTCAAAATTCATGGCACTAAAATAATTCAGTTAGAGTATATGTTCCCTCAAGTCCTGATCGTCTGGTATTTTAAACAAAGCTATGACAACCAAGTATAAGGTCAGTTGATTAGGGTGTTCAGCAAATCAGGAAATGGCAGCAACATACAGCTACAGGAAATATGCAATCTGTTAAGAGTCTGTTTTAACAACCTCTCTTTTTAAAAGATTTTTTTTTTTTTTGCCTGTGTGTGTGTCTGCCCATGGATATTTTAATGAGAGAGATTTCTTTGCTGGATCGGACTTGTTGCCACATTATAAACAGGAAATTTTTGAGAAGACTGCCAAAATTGGTAAGAATGTGAGTCAGAGGACCAATGTTCTATCATCATTCTCCATAAAAAACTATCTCATCCTTCAGTCTCTAAAACCTAAATGGAAAGCAAGTTTAGGGGAGTAAAGAGAAAAATGGCTTCCTGAGTCTCCTAACACCTTCCTAGAGAAATAATTAGGCATGTAATCATGAAGTGCCAGGTTTCTGAGAGGAGTGGGAGGAGAGACAAGTCCTGAATGACTTTCTGGATGGAAGTACTCACAGGACCTCTTCTCCACGGCTACCTTCTTGGTTGCTACAAATGCAATCTGGAATCTGTACATACCTCTTTAATCTCCAGGATACTGAGGATACAATGAAAGTAAACCCTGCAATGTATTTCTCTTTTTAACAAGTTTTTGCCTTAAAGAAAGCAAGGAGGCAAAACTGTATCAAAATTCTGTTGAATCTTAGTACCTTTGCATTCCTCCTTCAGACAAATTGAAAGTACATAAGACTAATACAGCACAGTATGGTTTACAGACTGGGTTTCACTTGATTTTCAAAGCAATCCTGTCAGATTGACAGAGAATAAGACTAAGTGTCAGAGAGGTGGCCTTGCTTAAATTCATACAACCTTTCAATGGAAAAACCATGATCCAAATCCAGGCTTTTGGGATTCAAACCCTTAGAACCTGATAATATTTCAGTTGTCAATAGAGCAAAACTACTAGGGAGATGCTGAAAAACGAATGTTCTTCAACGATTTCTGACTTTTCATATTGATTTTTCTTTGATAATCACTGGACCTTTGAAAGTATCACATATCTTTCTGTATAACAGTGATGTAAAAGGAGTAGTACATCTTGGAATACAGGATGGCAATGCCATCATCTCCAGCAGCTGTACCCTTAAAGAAAATAAGCTTTGAGCCGGTGGGGACCAGAGCAGCAAAACCATCTTGAATAATATTTTCATGAATGCTTGTTCACAGCAGATCTTCTCCGATACCCAGGAGATCTTCTGGGTATAGCTAAAGAGTCTAAAACAGGACAGGAAGCTGAATGGCATGGATTCTGGGTGTAGCTTTGTTGTCCTTTCTGAGGATGATTCTAGAGAAATCCCTCACACACTCTGGAACTCAAGCTGTTCTACTTGTTAAATAAGAGATGTGAAATCAAAATTCCTTCCAGCTCCAAAACTGTGAGTCAGATCTATCAATTACCACTGAATCGTCTTATACCCACTGGTGCCTCTGGAGGGTATTCACATACTAGGCTATGTTGCTGTGATTTCCCCAGTGTCTGAGGTAACTTACAGGTTCTTTTCCATCCATGGCCTCCATCCATAGTCTTCTGTTAGCTTCTGAAAGTGCCTGCAGAGTGATAGTTCCTGGCCTGTAGAAAAAAAAAAATGACAATTTTAAGGAAGAAAACTCACTAGGAGAATGGACGCTTGTGACCTTGGGTCATTCTCTGCTAGGGAGTAATGTATTACACTGAGCAAGTACAGACATACGGAATTTCAATTTTTCAAAATTTCTTTTACTCAGCTCAGAAAAACCACCAAAAATTGGAGAATGGTAACTTTGGAAATGCTGGGGGAGGTGGTACCTTGGCATCCTCACGCTGGGATCAGAAAAGGACATAGGAAGACATCAAAATACACACTTAATTTGTCCCCATTGTGCTTGAGCACCCTTGTGATCTGGGCCCTGGGCACAAGCATCTGTATCGGGCGCATTCAGCTATCAAGAGAATGGACTTGCTACTTCAACCTCCTAGGCTGTCCAAAGAGTGTTTCAACTGGAAAGAATCCAGCAACATGCATATGAGCTAAGCCATGGAAGAGATCTTTTGGCTGACTTAAGCTGACTTATGAATAGTAATAACAACAAATATTTACTGAATGCTCACTAGGTGCCAGGCTCCGTTATAAGTATTTATATGTGTTAATTTATTTAATATGCTCAGGAAGTCTATAAAGTGGGTAGTATAGTAATCTCTATTTTACAGAAGGGGAAACTGAGGCACAGAGCAGGTACTCAAGACCGCATAGAAAGTAAATGTAGAGGCAGGATTAGAATTTAGGAATTCTGATCCAGCTGTCATGTCCTTTCTTAACCACTATATACTCTAAGGCCTCTTCAGCACAGCAGATAGAATCAAATTCAATTTGCAGATTGAATACTTACTTGCAGATTACCTCTACCCAGAGATAGATGCAGCAAGTTGGTATACTCAATATGGTCTTTTTAGATCTTTGCAACCGAAATGGGAGTTTGGGATTGAATATATTATGGCAAGTATAGAGTCTCCTTGCTTTCTCTGCCTAGCTGTGTCATTTTACAAACCTTGTCCCTCTTATCACTTCTATATTAAGTCCTCTCTGATTCACAGAATAAGAGAAATCACAAGAAAGTTCAGGGACTCTGGATAAGGCACAAGATCTCAATTTCCTTATCCATAAAGGTGTTGGAACAAATGAGCTGGGAGGCACTTTCCAGTACTGATATCAAGGCATCCCTGTTCTACTTGTCCTAAATCGCTTCATTAAAAAGCCCCTTAAAAAGGAAAGCCCCTAAATGATTTTTAACCAAAATCCATCAGAAACCAGGACTTTAAAGTTTACCTCTAAGAAAAAAAAAATCTTTTGGCTGTAACTTATGAGATAAAAGGTCTAGAAATCCTTGTAAAAACAGCTACCAGTTCAATCCTGAAGTCAGAAGGAAGGAGAGTAAACCAATGGGCAACAGACATAAAAGTAGACACTGCAGACCAAATTCTAAACCCATTCTGGAACACAACTTCCCTATATGAGAAATCAAAAACCTGTGGATATTCTCTATTGATTTTACATAGACTAAAAGAATAAATACATGATGACTATTTAGGACCATTCAGATATTTGGGTGCTACAGAAAGTCAAATTCAAAGAACAACTGGTATGAACAGGGTGACAAAATATCAAGAGTACTAACTTCTAGTCCAGGATCTTTTATGGATTACCTCTATGACCACAGAAAAATCTATTGTCATTCCTGAGATTTCAACCACCCATATAAATCAAAAAGGTATTATACATCATATCTGCAGTAGAGTGCAGTAGTTAAGAATGCTTGGAGACCAAAATACGTTGATTAAGATACTACCACTGACTAGCTGAGTAACCTAAGTTAACTCATTTCTCTCTGCCTCCTTGTCTTTCTTTGTGAAATGGGGATAATAACATGCCCGACTTCATGTAACTGTGGCGTGAACTAAAGGGCATGCAAAGGCTGAGAACAGTGCCAGACACAAAGGAGGAACTCAGTAAATGTTAGCAGTTGTTTTTACTATTACTATCGATGGTGTTGTTATATTGTCCTCCAAGCTCTGATGGGCTATAAGTCAGTAGTTGGAACACTAATAAAAACAAATCTTATGCTCTATTGCTGAAAAGTTAAAGGGACTGAAAGAATTATTTGCTCTGTGCTTCTGTGAACATGAGTACAGATACCCGATGCCTGTTGGGAAGCCACTGAGTTTTGAATCAACTTCCCAATTACATAGCATGCTTTTCTCCAAAATACCTCAAATGCATTAAATTTGCCCTCTGATGAAACTGCTCGAATTCAGAAAACATGAAGGTATGGTAAGAAACAAATGCAACCAAGTCCAAAGTTTGCAAAAGCCTTTGCTGAAATCAGTTTATATAAATTATCTGCAAAGTAGGAAAAGTCTTTATCATGACTGCACCAAGTGTGGAAAAAGAGACTCTCCAATACCACCATTGCCTTCCATCCCATCTACCTCCCTGCAAAAAAAAAAAAAAAAAATGTGTTCCAATGCACTTGTTCTTAGGTATTACATTAGCATATGAAAGAAAAATGAGTTTTGTTAATATATCCTTTTTTGACAGCATCACCAAGTGTTGATTTTTTTGCCTATCTTATAGAAAATTAAATTCTAGGAGTGATATTTTCTGCTCAGAGCAGATAAGACAAAGCTGACTGAAGCTTGGAAAGAACCAGCTATTGGCCAGTTCTAACAGGGATCCCTGTGAAGAACAGCCAGGACAAAGATGTCATAAATAAATTTACTGATTTTCATCACCAAGATATACTAGAGGAAGATAAAAGACCTAATCAGGCTCAGCTCCTGGAACATGGAGACACTGCCAATTCACACCAGCACAGCTTACCTTTCATTAGTTTCTATATCGAAACAGAACCTCTTGTCGATAGATTCTGTCTTCCGTCTCACACAGTACTTCAGGGTTAAGTCCAAGGGTCCCTGATAGAAGGGAAAGATAAATAGCCAATTTGAAAAAAAAAATGTAGAGAAACTTCTTCTTCCTACAGTGTCTTCAGTGTCATCTGGAAGGCATTTGCCAGGGCAGCAGGGGAAACGTGTAATCTCACTGAGAATATTGTGCCCTCAAACAGTAATTGTAGGAAGGTAGTACATGGGTTCTCCCTTCTTCAAGAATCAATGACTGAGACTGGAAGAAAATGTTCAGGGTAAGCCAATAAATCTTTCCCAAGTATTGGGCCTCCCCGGTGGCGCAGCGGTTGAGCGCTGGGTTGCGAAGCTGCCCGCAGCCTCTGCTGCACCAGTTCGATCCCCGGCTGCTCCCTGGTCACCAGAGGAGGGTCCCGCATGGTGCGCACACCTCTCCTGCTGCCCGCTGCTCCCCTCAGCAGTGTACCCCTCAGCAGTGTACTTCGGTCCTTCTGCCTGCTCTGTTCCCCGCTCTGGTTCTGTGAATTCTCTCACCCTCCCACGCTTCTGACTGTACCCAGTACTTGTATAAATACATAAACAAATAAATCTTTAAAAAAAATCTTTCCCAAGTATGGTAGATTCAATAATAAACTCATTACACATTTTATAAGGGGAGTGTAGGAGAAATGGGTTGCGCAAATGGCCTTAAGTGTACAGAGTAAAATTTCCATGAGGCCTCTAGGTAGTGAGGCTGCAGCAAGTTAAGTAATTTTCTGCAACCCTCCTTCCATGAAAGAGGCAGACAGAGGAAGGGGGACAAACATTTCTCTAGACTCTTGAAGATGACTAGAATTGAAAAAGCAATCCCTCCGAAGGTAGGGCAGGAGTAGGAAAAACAATGGAATCTGTGTAATAGTGAAAGTAGCATTTGATATTCATATGTGCAGGATACTGAGGCCCATCTTAGTCTTGTGGGCACTAAACAAGGACAATGAAATCCAGTGGATCCATAGATCACAATCTCCTAGTCCCTGACTATTCAATTTCCCTCTATTATCTCAACAGAATTAATGTACCACAGGAAAGTAATTAACACTAATACATTCGCTACCGTATGCCACAGGTTTCGCTATGGATTTTTAAACTAGCTTTCTTTGTAACAAACCCTAGAGGGAAATGAAGAGGTAAAATGGTTTAAATAAAGTCACCCACGCCAATACAGCAGAAATAGAAATATACTAAGAGGCTTAATACCTGGGGTCTTGCTTAGCTGTTCCATTTATCAGCTACATGGCCCAGGCAAATCATCCTCCCTCTCTGAAGCATAACTTCACAATCTATTGAATGGGAATATTACTACCCATCCTGCTGTTTCTAGTTCAGAAGTACAGCCTAAGTGCAAGGTCTGTCCTTCAGCACTGTACCAGACTGGCTCATGTGGCTGATCATCTAGCACTTCTCTCTCACTGGCACTCAGAACCCCCTTGCAAGGTCTATCCTTTTGCTGCTCCCACTGTATAAAAACTCAATTCTAAATTAATCCTTCAATTTTCCTTACCTACCCTTACACTTAGAATGTCCTGCAATACTGGTCTTTCAAATTAGAATGACTGACAGCATGAAGTATTCACTGGTTCTCCAAATTCTCAACTACCTCAGCTTCAGTAGCATCACTGCTTAGGAGTGCAGGCCCTGTTCACCACTCCAGGTTCAATTCCAGCAATTTCCATCTGTTTTATGCCCATAAAAGAAAAAATACTCTTATTTCACATATATATCATGCTCTTTCCTGACTCCATAATTTGCATATACTGTTTCCTTCACACAAAATCACTTTGTCTATATTCTTATACTGGCTTAAATCCTATTTGTTCTACAAACTGCAGTTCAGCTTTCATTGCCTCCAAAATTCTTCCCCAATCCCACTTACTGCCTACCATGTGTTTTCTGCATTATTTTAAGACTTCCTGTTTTCATGTGATTTCCCCACTTGACTGAGTACTTTTCAAGGACACGGAGAATGTCTTGTGTATCTTTATAAATCTGATATCCAATAAAGAATCGGTGCTCAATAAATACTGGGGAAGCTGATACTGAGAAAAATTAATTTACTCAAAGTCAAAAAGTTACCTAAATAAGGGACCAGGAAAAAGAATAACTATAAGAAAGAAAAAATCGAAATCAAAAATCAACTGTGAACCAGAGACACACTGCGGGGGTGGAAGGGTGGATTGGGGTCAAAATAAGGGGGTTGCAATTGTATGGGGAATATAAAAATAAAAAAAAAATCAAGATAAAAAACAAAAAGTTACCAGGCAAGAGAGCTAGAATTTAAGCCCAATTCATGAGACCTAAAATGTAGCACTCTTTGTAGCACTCTTTCTATTTATTTATTCAATTATTATTTTTTTTATTTTATATATTTTACATCATTTTTCATTTTTGCACAATATATACATTTTCATCTTGGTTATAGTCCCCATACAATTTCCACCCCCCTCGTTTTGATCCTACTCCCTCCTCTCCCCTCCCCCCCCCATAGTGTGTCTCTGGTTTATAGTTGCTTATTGATTTTGATTTTTACTTTACAAAATAAGAGAGAAAGAAAAATAAAAATACCAGATGGTCTCACTCATAGCAGGAATTTAGAAAACCTAAATAAGGGACTAGCACTCTTTCTTTTTTAGCACAACTGCCTGACAGGAAAGGGATGAGAATCTTATAGTATATGGGGAGGTGATCTATAAAGTAAGCAGCACAACACAAATGGAAGTTAATGGGCTGAACTAGTAAAGGAAGCTAGTAATTTAGCATAAAAAGCGGGCCTAATTCCTCCATCTGCACATTGGGCTGATGAGACTTTATTTACAGTGTTAATGGGAGGCAAAATAAAGCACATGATGGAAAGTGTCTGTCTCAGTACCTGGCACACAACAGAAAATAAACAGTGGTTTTTATGGCATCATTATAATTATAGTCTCTTTCACATTTACCTTTTGAAACCACAAACCAGTAATAAGACATGAGTCAGAGACTAGACTAGAAATCATTTCGGGCTCCAATTTAAGGAAATTCAAGTAGCTACTCCTACTTCCCCTTCCCTCCAAGTTCCTCTTTCCATTCCATAAGGAATCCCATATTAAAACTGCTTAGACTCACAAGACTGCAGTTTCATAAACAATCACTCAATGAAAAGAGAAGAAGGAAAGAAAAGCTAAAATGACGACTTGTTTTCATCTGCGGCCAGGATATGAAGGCTATATCTGCTCTTTGTCTTGCATTTTGCAGTGCACATGTCTGAGCAAGAGATAAAGTGTCTATGAGTTGACTGTTTAAAACAGGAGCTTTAAAGCCTGATGTAGGGGAAAAGAAAGAAAGAGACTACAAGACAGTGCTGCTTACAAGCACTTTCCGGTCAGATACATGAGCCGAGTTCTGACACAAGATACATTTATTGGAAGCACTGAAAGATGCCTTTGCAACTGGCAGACTGGAAGTGAAGGAGTAGTTTGAAGTCATGAATGAGCAGACTGGCTCATACAGAGGAAGATTCTAGAAACCCCATTTGATATGCTTTGTTAAGGATGCATCCCATTTCCAATCCACATTCAAAAGAGTGTGGCAAAACTATTGTTTAAAGACAAAAAAAAAGAGACAGTTTTCAAAGTCTGCCACCAAATCTAAATCCTTTCTTATTTCATATAAACAAGCCACACAAGAGAGATATTCCATGGAATAAACTAGCAAGAGAGTGGGAAATCTATCCAATTTTTCTCCAAATTCTATCTACGTAAATTGGGTCTTAATGTACCACTTTCTTTCTTTCCTTTTTCTTATTGAGGTAACATTGGCTACCAATTCCACATATGATTTAGGGGAACAGGTTCACACCTCATCAGATGTGTGTTACGACAACACACCCGCCACCAAAGCAGCAAAGTCCTTTACTCTAGACCACTGGGGTTCTTTCCCCACCTTAATTCCCACCCCCTCTCTATAGCAGCCTGAGTTCTGCAGTCATATTTCTAGGGTTTGGTTTAGTTTAGTTTTGTTACTTCCTTTTTGCTTTGTGTCTCTATACTCCACATAAGTGAAATAATCTTATGTTTGTCTTTCTCCTCCTGACTTATATCACTTACCATAATCCTCTCCAGTTCTACACATGCTGTTGCAAATGGCAAGTTTCACCTTTTTTTAATAGTTGAGTACTATTCCATTGTGGGTATATATACCACCTCTTTGTAATCCACTCCTCTGTTGTTGGGCACTTAGGTTGTTTCTGTAATTTGGCTATTGTAAATAGTGCATGTACCATTTTCCATGCTAACAAGAGAAAATTGCAGTACCTCTAACAATTTGTAAAAAATAGAAATTCTTAAAATCATGCCCTTTTCAGTTTGTCAGACTATCAGCTTTAATTTTAAGAAATAAGGGGGAAGGAAGGAGGGAGGGGTGAAGGACGGGAGAATATATGTGTATAAGAGATAAGATTAAGTTCTTCCAAGTGAATCAACTATTTTTCTGTGTGTTAATATCATCTTCACATTTTGGAGAGTTCATGAAGGTTTGGATGACAGAAAAGAAGCATTAACTATTTAAAGATATTTGAGAATTACAATGAATTGGGGATAGTGGTTTTTCCAATTTTAAGCAATTTTGGTGTGAACATAAACTGCATACATTTGTAATCTTTTTGAATTAGTGCTTTCATATTGTTTGGATAAATACTTAGGAGTGGTATATCAGGGTCATATTATATTTCTATTATTTCTTTTCTTTTTTTTTGCATTTTTTTAATAATAAATTTTATTTTTATATTCCCCATACAGTTGCAACCCCCCCCCTTTCTGATCCCAATCCCTCCCCTCCCGCCCCCCACCCCCCAAAAAGTGTCTCTGTTTCATAGTTTTTTGTTGATTCTGATTTTCACTTTCTTATAGTTATTCATTTTCCTGGTCCCTTATTTAAGTTTTCGAGATTCCTGCTATGAGTGAGACCATCCGGTATTTTCTTTTCTTTTTGGCTTATTTCGCTGAGCATGATCCCTTCCAGCGCCATCCATGTTGCTG